ACAGGGAGCTTAGGAGGCTCATCTGATTTCCAAATTCACACTGAATCCCAAATCAACATTTCACCTCAGTAAGCTTTTTAATATGATGTTAGGGAAATAGTAAACAGTACTATTATTCATTTACAGGTTGTGAAACATATATATTTTTTTAAAATAACAAGGCATTGGGAAATTAATATAAAAAATTAATTACTAACAGTAATCTTCAATCAGTAATGTACTGTGTATATAGTTACTATGTAAAACAAGACATTACCTGTTAAAAATACAGTATTCCCCAAATGTTGTTAATTAAAGGTAACTTTCCCCAATCCTGTTTCTAACATATAAATAACAATCAGAACAACTAGTAATAATACAACTCTTATTGTTATTTTGTATCGTTTAACATGATTTCTTTAAGCACATGCACATAAACTACTATACAGTGTATATCACACAAACCATAAGTTTAATCCCATTGATAGATAAAAAGACAATAATTTACCCCACTATTCTTACTACTGTTACTTAATTCTACACTGGTTCAGTCTCACACCCAGCGTGTTTTGCAGACTGATAGCAACACCTTTGAACAGGCATGTCTTTGTTTGGTCACACATTTAAAAAAACATCCACCCTTACACTGGTCTTCAACACAAGTGTTGAAGAATAACTCTGTTATGCTTTTTTGCCCAGACAATTATTTCCATCTGATAGAATAGAATTTCCATCGAACAGAGAACATACTATATTTTTTAACTTATTTGAAATTATAGTCTTAGAAACTGTCTGGTTTTCCCTGCTGCTTGTTAAACAGGTTTCAGGCAGATAAATTGAGGAAGACAGTTACTTTCTGACTGACGCCACTGGTGGTGTTCCACAACGCTCCATTCTTGGTCTTGATTTAGTTTTCTAGTTCTTCTTGGTGATTTCTGTTCCTATTGTTTCTTGGCATTGTTTTTATTTTTATACAACTTAACTTTTTCAGTCTTTTGTTCTTCCTTTGTTTACAGTGTTTTTTTTTAATTTTGTTTTAAGTGCTGCACATTCTTTTCCTGAAACACACTTTATAAAAATAAACTGAGCTATGACTTCTATAAATCCTATACAGTATTTGTACCAAAATCACATCACAGTAGCCTCTAATTATTAGTATCACAGCAACAGATTAATTTCAAGAATGCCTTCCTTCATTTTTTGAAAAGTAATGCTACCCTTAAAACTGTCTGGTATAGAATTTAATCTGCTCCTTTAAGTCGATGAAGCAGGTCAGTAACCGAAGATAACAAGCATCACTAATTAAAATAGTGCATAAACTTTACTTTTTCACAAAAAATCCAATATATATCCACAGGTACCTAATTTTCTGAAAATATGAAGGGAGTAGTTGATAATTCTCCAGTCAAGTACATAGGGAATGTGATGTTACTTTAAATGTCAGTTGGAACTGCACTTTCACATTCAAGTAGGAGGCTCATTTTACATAAGTTCAGTCTCAGGAGTACTGTCATTACCTTTTCTGTTAAGACCACATCCTGGCATTTGTGAAAAGGAAAATAAAACTTGAATAATAATAACAACGCAGAGATGATCTGAAGCGAAAAATTAAAGAGAAGATTTTAAAGAACTGAAACCAAAGACCTGAACTTACGCACAGTGTCATCCCCCATAAAACATCAAATTAGATTCTGGAAAAAATGAATAACAATCTGATGATATGAAAGGGGAAGTGAGTATCAGTGAGAGCGTTGTGTAGAGGTGTCAGTGACATACTCTAAACATACCCAACACTGGAAATCTAGAGATTGAAACAGTCAGCTCCCGCGCAAAACCTACTGATGTTGTGGTCGGTCATATCCATGAACCACAACTGTCAAAGCTTCTCTCCTTTAATTATAATCTTTTTTCACATTAAAACATCTGCTCATAAAGTTACATTGTCGTCACATTATTCTTCAAGTAAACAAAACCTTATTCATTTATTAAGATTTCTGTACAACTAGACTGACCAATTTCTATATTCCAGCCCTAAATCTTCCAACATTTGCATGCACTCCTGGGTTATTGACTACCTAAAATGAGTCCAGCAAAAGGTAACTGAATCACACTATTGTATATATATAGTAATGATGTTCAAATATTATTTCTTTCTACGGGATTAATAAAAAAATAGTTTTTTTGTTGTATCGCCCACTACTTTGATAGTAAGAATCTTCCACAATAAATATTTAAAGATATTTTGCTAAAATAAACTCTTCCAGCGATGTTATATTTTGTAGGATTATAAAGGTATGGACAGTTTTTTTTTAAACTAAATATGTTTCATCAAACTTGAATGCACAAATTGAACTCATATTGGTAAGAGAATAATGTTAACTAGAAGTACAAGATGCAATTTTGTGGGTTTTATGTAGTAAATGCTGTGGGGAAACAATTAAAAATGTAGATAGAATGATAGGATAGAGAAATAAAATTTATATAAAGAGACAGTAAAATTGTAGAACGTACTAGAAAGGCCACAGAGACAGTGTATTTTGGAGTAGCGATATTGGACTGCCAATAAGTGTATGTTGCCAAAATTTACAAGTTTACTAGAATTTAAATTATTTTTTTTATTATGTTACTGATTACTCATGCCTCTGAGCATACTTTAAATAATGTGGTTGAGAATGAATTCCCCTTTCTCTCTACAAAATGACCTGCAGTCTCATTTCTCTAACAGAAATTCCCATACCGAAACCCTGATATATGATGGTTTAGGTGTTACTTGTAATTGTTTTAATTTCTTCGTCTTCAAATGAACAAGATTCACATTGCTACTTGACATCATTCAATGGCACTGATGAAGATCCAAAAGTGGAGGAACAAACCATTTTCTGAACTTTGTAGAACTGTACAAGGCAGGTGGAATAGAAATAAAAACAGTCCATATGCTGATGAAATATAGCTTTGTTAAAGTTATAGGAAAATGTAATAATTAGGTGATTTAAAAACAAGAAGACAATACTTCTTAAGTAATAAGACAACAGAAGATCTTTGTTACCAGTTAAGAAAATCCATTTAACCATCTAATTTTAGCAACTGCTTTATCTGTAGATGTGTACAGCGAGCTGGAGCCCAACCTGGCAGGCACAGGATGCATCATGGGGGAAGGGCGGCACTTTAGAGATACCAGATAAACAACAGATGGAATAAAATCTCAAATCTATGGCCTCTGTGAACTGAAAACTCAACAGGCTCCTTACAAATGCTCTGAGGAATACAGCTTATCACTTCAAACGGGATTCTTTTTTGCACAATATCCACCTCCTCATTGTAATTTCTTTTTCCAGTAACACCCACTGTTGCACACTGAAATGAAGACAGTGCACTAACCACTTATTTTGTGGGGTGTTCTGTTTTTATTAGCTATATTTCTAGACATACTGTACCAACATTTTACTGCCTTCTTCTTTTGTCAGACGGACTGTTGGTAAATGTTTCACAATTGATTACAACAAAAGTTGTTAATAAATAAGGTTCAGTGTGTTTATTTCCTGTTGTGTCTCCATGAGAGAACCCTTTATTTCAGTATTGTTACAGAATAAAGCTTTCACCAGTTAGAACCTGTTTGCTATTGGATAATTAAGATCACCTAGATTTGTCATCATTCTATCAATCTGTCTGTGTTGACTTCAGTGTTTCGATATACTGCATAGTCAAAGGTCAAACTGAAACTAAACATCTTTGAATGATGAAGCTAAAAGAAAATGAATCCTCATTTAAAATGAGAAGCACAAAAACTGGATATATGAAAATTAACAATTTGGAATATAATAAGAAAGAAACCCCTACCAATCAGGCAAGACTTTGTAGCATCTTCAGTTATATCATAACAAGTAACAGAGCTATCACAACAAAACCCTGAAACAACATTAAAAAAAATACTTACAATCTCTACACTGCTGGAGTGATGGTATTAAAAACCACAAACCTCTTATCAATACCAGTGCAAGAAAAACTAGATTAGAATGTGCTTAATGCTAAGAAGAAATAAAACTAACCAGAACGTTTACCAAGGTGATGGAAAGGTTCAACTGTGGAGGGAGAAATAATTTGCAGATGCCCCAAAGAACACCACCTCATCTGTGAAGCATGGTGAAGGTAAATCCATGGCCTGGGCCTCCATGACCACCTATAGATCTGTCTCACTCCTTTTTATTGATTAGGTAACTAATGCCAGGAGCACCAGAACACCAAAAGTTTATAGAAACATTTTGTCTGCTTATGTAGAACAAAATACTTCCATATATATTGAGCGGTACTTCAATGACAGGAAAATGAGCCAAGACATCCAACCAATGCAACCAAGGAGTTAATCATGAGTAAACAGTAAAAAATCTTTTACAGGCTAAGTCAATCTCCACATTTAAATTCAATTGGTCAGGTATTTTACATGCAAGAAGAGGCAAGTGGCTACAGCAACTCCAGGCGGCTTCGGCAAAGACTTGGCAAAGCATCTCAAAGAGTTTGGTGAGCTCAATGGTTTGCTAACATTATACACTAATACTGTTGCCTTAAATAGATATGCAACCAAATAGTGAACATCATAATGTCCCAATTTGTATGGTCACTCGGTTGAACAAAATATCAGTTTTTGTTTAAAATCTGATCCAAAGTTTCAAAATAATAAATTATATGGAATTATATTGTAATTTGTATTCATATTAACCTCATGACCACAAATACAAATTGATTGACTATGAAGAAAAAATATATTTTATAAACTGCAGAATTCAGAGACTGTTTTAAACAGCAGATACAGGAACCAAAATCATTCTACTGAAAAACTTACATAACTAAATTAATTATACAGAATAAACAAGGAGAAACAAAAGCCTATCTAACATCTGCAACATTGACAAAGGCTTTTGTTTCATTAACCTAATCCTCCTCAACTAAAGATTTTAATGAAGCCCACCATTTTACCCAAATACAGTATGGTACAGTATATACAGTAATATTTTTAATATACTTACCAGCCCACTGACTGCATTGATCCACATGACAGAGCTTGATGTTAAGAGCTACAAAATCAAGAAAATAAAAATTAGAGATATTCTAAATGTGTATGCCAGAACAGCACTACAAATCACACTACAATGGATGCACTGATCGTTATGTTATGGAGGTTTCAATAACATCATTCAGCTTTATGACTTGACTTGGCTCTACAAGAGATCATGACATGCTTTGGCATTAACGGTGTTGGCAGAGTTGTGATCATCTACCTGGCCATGTGGTCACCATGAAGAGATCGTCAGTATGCCTTACATGGAGTGAGTCACGGTGCTGCTGCAAGGGAAATTCTGTGGGCGTGGAAGCAAAGCCAAATCAGAAAACCTGGGAACGGCGGGTTCAATTTATAGTGGGGCAGGAAGTTAGGCCAGTTGGGTTTAATGAAGTGGGTTTAATGAGGGAAATGTCAATGCCACACTTTTCATTTCTTGCATGTTTTCCTGATCTCAGAGCATGTGAAGCTGAAGGCCTGCTAACCCAAGACAGGCTGTTAATGATCAGGGCTTTTTGAGATCTTCAGTTTCAGATTCCATTACAGGTTTTTACAATCAAATGTAACATAGTACGAGTGGCACTAACCACTGTAATTCTCGGAATCTACAGTGCAAATAATTTGCATATAAAGTTAACAGGGAAAATTTGAGATTATGCTTCTAAATATCATGGTTTACTATTTACAGTAACCCTATATAATACCATCTACCATGAAGGCCAGTGTGATAACGCACAAACCACTGACATTTTAGCTTGGAAGGGTAAGCAGTTGCATTACTGTCAACTGTAGGCAAGCATCATCTGTGGGGAAAAAACTATCAAAGGGATCTGTGGCAAAACACTGCTATCAAAGTCAGATTTCAATACATCAACATTTTTAATATCTATTACAATTTATGGAAAGCGAATGTTGCATAATTGTATTTTTTATGATTACAAATGTACTGTATGCTACCAGGTTAAATTATATTTAGTTTAAATTTTCACAAGAATTTAAGAAACATAAAAAGTGACTATAGAACTGAGAGGAAGATATTTGACCTCTTTATCTCTTTTGGTTGCTTTTATCAGCACCTGTCATTTTTAAATAAAATATTATAAAACACACCTTAATATGGACCGGAATTGATATCCAATCGTACACCTATTTTATAGAAACCTAGTTTAATAAAAGCATATCTAACTGACCAAAAACTCAAGATACAAATTAAAGACTCTTCAGTTACCCAGAGGACTCCAACCCTCATCCTGGAGAGACCCAATCTAATCCAATCAATTTATAGATCACCAGTTTCTACAGATTGGAAATGTGCAAATGAACGATGGATTAAAATGTAAACTGTTCAATTAAGGTAACTCTGGTCTTTTGGAGATTTGGGTCTCAAATGATCTCAACATTACTTTCAGTAGTTCAAGAAATTACCTGCTTAATTAATCACAATTAAAAAGGTTTTAGAAATTGCAATTTAATAATGACCTATAAAACCTGCTAAATTTAAAGATCTCTAGAACCAGGGTGGAAGGCCCCTAATAAATCAGAGTTATTTTACAACTTAAGAAAAAGTGGCTTTAGAAATTGAAAGCTACAGTAACTCACATACAATCAAGCATAAATGAATGGCTGTGGTGGTATAATATCATATAATATCAGAAAAGAAAAGGTTTTAACCATGTCCAAGTATTTTCCCTTCCTGTTAGGAAGGGAACACCTAATACATCTAATACACAATTATGTTTGGTATGCTTTGCACTTTAAATATGCACTTTTTGGCATACCGAATTATTATATTGAAAGAAACGCTAAAAATGAAGTCTTAATATAAGTGAAAATCAAACACTAGTTAATTAATTGATGGTTGTAGTTCTGACAGCTGAAAGTCAAAAGGGATGATAGACATTAAGGTGCTATTCCCACCTAAAAAAATTGTCATGGAATCACGAGAACATAATTCAGGATATGCTCATTATCCCTTCTTCACTAAGTTCACCACTTACTAATGAACTAATAATAATTTAATTTAATTAATAATTTAATGTGTTTACACCCATTTTCCAACTTAAGCAAGGGTTCTGTTCCACTAGGCATGCATTGTGTGAACACATGAGAATTTCCATTCATTTTTCTTAATGAAAAAAAACAAATAATGACAATAAATACACACCAAATATTGCAAACATTTGAAAAAACCTACAGTTAACAATAACTGAAACTTTGAAGAGAGAATGTATAAATAGGTTACTGTACATGGCCTTATCCCACACTGTACTGTACAGGACAAATGATATGACCTGTTACTCATAATATTTGGAGAAAACATGTACATAAACAAAGTGAGACTGACTGTAAAATGGAACTCTGGTGGATGTTGGTGGTGACCTCATTACGCTTCGCACCTTTTATCTACAGAGGGAACTCACCGCAATGCTCTTTATGCACCTAATATATTTTTTCTGTAACTAGTCAATTTTGTTATGGCACCTACGGGAGCTTTAAAATAGAGCAGAATTCATGTAAGTTGAGTCTTAAATAACCCAGGGAGTGGCAGTATTTAAAAGAGCTGTAAGTCATATCAACAGAAGCTGGCGCAAGGCGGTGTCTCCCTGTTACTGTATCTTCACCCTTCTGTCAACCAGAACCGTCAGACTGCATGATATGCTTCCTTGACCTCAGACGTCTCAAAGCACACCACCACAATTTGGAAACTCCAAACTGCAGATACTGTAACTACTGCTGTCTTGTAAGGTTTAATACAGTCTAAAAGCGGGGATATTCATTTCTGGTTCAAATGCATTCATGAGAGAGGCCGACTGTGTTGTACACATCTTACAAATCAAGGAAACCACACCTTACCAATTTAGATGCTCAGATTAAGTAGCCCAGGCTTTATCATATGATTTGGGGAAGTTTTCAAAAACTGTTTGTTGTGTGGAGAATACAAAAACTCATGGGAGCTGAGCAACATTACCTTTTCTTAGAAATGACTGACATTTTGCAATATTCGCTCATCTATGACTAAGACTGAATATCATCGTGAAACCTGTTGTACTAAAGTAATTGTGATTAGTAAAATCGGACAATATTAACTATTGTAGAAGCTGATGTAATAGATTAATAGCATTACATTTGTATTGCATTGCGGACATTTGGTGCCCAAACAAATTGTGTGCAGCGGTTGCAGCAGCAGTGGTTCACATGGAATAACAACACCCAAGAAGAAAATGCAGTAGGAATGTTTCTAGAGAAATTAGGCATAAGAAGCTTTGGCTTCACTCTCTTGGCAGTGGGTCAATCACCTAGTCTCTGGACAAGGAACGTCAGGACCCTTAAGCAGAGTGGACCTGACCAAGGGGGAGCTGCACAGGTGGAGATGGGTTTGGAAGAGGGATGGAGAATGATGAAGGAAAGAAGAAGATGGAGAAGAGGGCTTGTTATGGTACGTATAGATTTTCAGGTAGTGACATAATGGAGGATTACAAGTTAGAATAATAGAGGTGAAGGACAACTTGGTTGCAGTCATCCCTCCTAGGCTTCCATTAAAATCTCCACTTAAACTTGCCAGGCTTTAAGCATTTAATTTTAGAAGATAACCCCTCTACTCCATATTTATATTAACAGATACAACTATAACATTACAGCAACAGGCTATATATAACCAATGGCCTTAGATACATCCTGTGTAGAAAACTAGTTCACGTGGTGAAACATGGCGTGTGAGCAGTGGTTACCGACTGAATCTAACCTCTATAAAGACTCCCAAGGACAAAATGTAAATTTTTCTTGGTTTTCTGTTTCGCTTTAATCCATTTTAAAGAGACACTGACTATTTGACTGACCTGTCGTGGAAATAGAATAAACCGTAAATTGAGAATTTTCTCTTTTAGACTTTTAAAAAATTTAAAAAAACATATTATCCCTTTATTTTTACCATGTCTTTACTATGATTTTACTCTTGTTCACTTAGCTCTACTTTTTCCCATGGTACATTTATGACAGTAAACATCATTCAGGGGCAGATGTTTTCAAATCTACGTCAAGATTTACTAGCTTTAGAATTTAAATTAGAATTTAAATTCAATATCTAAAAAAAAAAACATGTATCTCTTCTTGGACGCGGTGTAAAAAATGGTCACCAGATTCAAGAAAAGGTCACCTAAACCTAAGACTGAAGCATAGTAAAAAGTAAGGGCTATAGAGAAGCTGCATTCTTAACTTTCAGCATATTTCATTAGTAGAAGTGACATCATTCAAATGACTTTAGCACACCTTACTTACATGTAGCATTTGGTATTGTCCCTGCTCAGGTGTGCTTAGAGTCACAATGTATGAACAGATAGAATACAGCTGTGATTTTCTACCATCATCGCAGATCTCTTCATGTTGTAAGAACATGACTAGACAGGTCTGCCACAATAACTTTACACTCAAATTATGAGTGGGTTTCATAGATACAGTACATAGGGGATACAGTCACCTCCAAAATTATAGGCACCTTTGATA